AGAAGAAAAAGAAGAAGACGAAGAGAAGAGGAAGAAAATTAGCAGTAGAAGAAAATGGCCACATATACATTATAAAATACGGTTCAGGACTAAGGGCGGGTATTATAAAACTTAATTGAGAGTTAACTTAAAGTTAACTTCTGGAATTACATGTAATTCAAAAAGTTAACTTCAAGTTAACTGTCAAAGCAGTTTTATAATACCCACCCTAAGAGAAACAAAGCTTAGTATTAGGTAAATAAATTTTAACAGGATTTATAAAACTATCTTCCTTCCAGATTTTTGGTGATACTGGCTTATAGCGCCACAAGCCAGGAGGTAGAAGTATCCGCCGGCGCAACCTGGAAACTTCTACCAGGTACAATTTCATACGAGGGGTCAATCCCATTAACATGCAGAGTACCCTGGCTTGAAGAGCCTTTGGAACCAACTCTGTACCTCAGAGGTAAACTGTATTAAGTCACTTTTTTTTCGAAAATGGATCTATACTTAAGTCATTAGAACCAAAAATCGTTAACTGTGATTTTAAACCACCGAAATTGGGAGGTTTATTTTAACAGCAGTTTAGAGGTACTTAAACAAGGATTAACTTGCGGTGCTACGAAAAATAAACGTTTGTTAAAATTTAAACCTCTGTTTAACTCACGGTGCAAGTGGGCATTTGTATATTAAATTATAATATTATGACTTAATACAATTTACCTCTGAGGTACAGAACTAGGGATGTAAGCTAATTTTTCTGACAATGTCATGTCACAGTCAAAATGAAAATGACGGTCACGTCATTTATTTTTATGAGACTCCTGTCATTTATTTTTTTATCGATTGAATTTTCTGACTGTAAAATTATTAACTAACTGCCATTGAAATATATGACCGTCATTGCCGTCATTGAAATATATGAAAGTGTCACAAAAATATCAACTGACTGTCAAAGATGAAGAATGGAGAAGATGGAAACTGTACTTTCTAACTCATTAAATGACTTTGATGCTGATGAATCTGAAACTGAAGAAGAGCTTTAAGGCCGAAACCCACTAGCAACACGCCACGCCACCCCACGCCATGTGACACAGGTTTACGTGGGACACTTTGTGTGCAAATGGACGGATGGCGTGGCGTGCCATGGCGTGGTATCGCGTATGGTAAGTGCAGCACATATAAATAAATGGAAGAATATACGCATACATCTTCGTAACATGGCGTGGCGTGGCGAAGCATGACGTGGTGTGTTGCTAGTGGGTTTCGGCCTTTAGTCAACCAATCAGATACTTACCCGATTGATTATTTGAGTTGTTATGTTCAGAGGTTATGTTCTACTACTTTAGGCAATTCAATCCATCTGTCAGATAGGAAAATTCAATATGGCGTGGCGGCCAAGCAAGTTTGTTTTGAATGTGTTTTTATGCGTATTTGAAATTATTTTGCTTAAGGCCGTTTTACAGCTTGCAAGAAAACTTGAATGCCATTTATTGCATGCAAAAAAATTGCATTCAAGATTTCTTGCACGTCGTTTTACACCTTGCAATTTGACTTGTTTCTTTCTCTAACCTTATCCATACTTTTTTGTTTTTAACGCTGTGTTGTTGATGTTTGAATTTTCCAAAAATAAAAAAAGTGATTATAAGTCGATATAAAAAGAAGAAAGCAATAGCAGCAACTTTAGGCATCATAATTGCTAAAAATTCCCCAGCTTGCACGAAAACCTTCAAGAAAAATGGCACCAAACCGATTGCATGCAATGCCATTCAAGTTTCAAGAATCTTGCAGAAACCAATCAGCTGACTCACTTCTGCGCATGCCCTCGTTCAAGTTTCTTGCATATTGCAGAAAGAATTGCGAGCTGTAAAACGGCCTTTAGAGTTTTGCTTGCAACTCTGATTTGGATTATTTAATAAAATATTTGTTGACTAGGTACCTAAACTAATAAATCGAGCAGGGGCTTGTTTCATAAAAAATATTAGTCTAATAATATTACTCTTTAGCCAATATTATAAATCAAAATTATGATATTGATAATGTAATTTTGACTTATAATACTTGCTAAAGAGTAATATTATTAGACTAATATTTTTTATGAAACAGACCCCAGAATCTAGATATTTTTTTTTGTGTTTTTTGGCCCATGTGTGGCCGCCACGTTATCTTGAAAGTCACGTGGTTTGAATTGCCAAAATTAGGCAAAGATAAATGACTATAAATGACAGAAAAATTACTGTCACGTATCACAAAAAATAAATCTTAAATAAATGATCCCTAGAACCAACAATACTGGAAGGCAAGAAGTGTCAAGAATCAGAGAAAGTAGGATGTAAGATTTAACGTATATGGAAGGAATAGCATCGACTATTAGACAAGGAATTAGATAGTCTAAAGGCTGGTTCATGCATGAAAATATTTTCCGTTTCCGTAACTTAGTCGCTATCTATATCCGTAAGTAATTAATGTATAAGTTGCATGTATTTATATGCAGGTGTTCATGCACATTACTTTACCGTATCATTTTCTTTATTCTCTATTAAAGATAGTTAACTTTTATCTTTTACGGATAAAGTTACAGATAAATTCGATGGCGCCTGCGCAGTAGATGAAAACATCCATATTTCTCGACTTAACCTCAAAAACAGGAAATTTTTTAAAGGAAACAACAAATAGGACTTAAAATACGTGTCTGAATTGAAAATAACGTGGGAAATAATATTTATAACACCCTGATAAAACCCAACAAACCGTTCGCAGTTTCCCATACACGTCAAAAATGTCATTATTAAAGACTGATAAAAACTCTTAATTTTTGGTGCATGAAATACCTCAAATTTTACGGAAAAAGAAAAGCTTATGCATAAGGAAAAAGTTAAAGAAACAGAAAAAGAATTTATGCATGAACCAGCCTTAACTAAACACTGGATATAATCTAAAATCAAGAACGAAGAGCAAAAGGGCAATTTTATTTTATTTTTAGTAATTTTATTTTTAATACGCATCATTTCTGTTTCATACGCACCAAATCGCATTATTTGACCAGAGGACAAACGACGCCAAGAAACCAATGACATGACGCAACTATAACCTGGATCAGGGATTGCTATTGAGCAGGAACATCTCTGATCCAAAGATCCACGAGTAACATTGAAAGCAAGGAACCCAGACACTATGACAGATTTGGCCAACTAAAAACCGGACCCCAACGAACCACAAACGTTATGGTAACTTCCGGGACTACTTACAGGCTTTACCGATGCGTCTTATCTGGTTAGACTGCAAAACAACCCTATTCCTTTTCGTTTTTTTTGTATTATATTGTATATGATTCTATTTTTTGTATTGTATTGTATTTTATTAGTTGTATTGTATTTTATGATTGTATTGTATTTTGTATATCATTGTTTACCTTTTGTATTGTAATTCTCTAGCTGAGGTATATAGGTATCTTGTAATTTTTTTTATTTTTATTTTTGATGTCTCTTCTATAAGCATTGGAGGCCAATGCTTTACTGAATATTACTCTGTACATCAATTTCACTAAAGTGTGTCGATGAGTCAGCATTTATTTGGTATAAATACCGCGCAGAAATCCATTACCGGCAGACTAAGGCTAGTGCAAAGTACCTCAAATGGGAGAAGCCCCTCTAGCTAATGCCGTTTCCGATTGGTAGATCTAGTGCGGAACTAGTGCAATTTTTTTTATTTCTGTCTTTCTCTCCTAGAGGTCGATTAAAAGGATGCGAATACACTCAGTGCGCACTGAAATTACCAATCGGAAACGCCATAAGTCTCCTCCCAGTGCAAACTACCTTTAATGGGAAACGCCCTTAATTCTGGACCTGTCTCAAATCTAGCTCCTTCTGGGAGTATTGAACGCAGCAGACTAGGTCCAGTGCAAACTACCTTTAGTGGGAAACGCCCTTATGGACCTGTCTCAAACCCAGCTTCAGTCTTCAGTCACGCCAAGTGTACAGAGTGTACATAAAACAGAGTGGCCTATGAGTAGTACGTCCCTCTGAAGAAGAGACGTCATGATACTATTTCTAGGGTAATATTATTACCTATTATTCAATACATTATCTTATTATACCTATACCAAGCGAGTTTCTCTCTACCTGAACCCCACCTATGCCCCCAGGTCACGCTCCTGTTGTCCAGGACGAAACGTATAGGGGTTTTTTTTTTTTTTTTTTACGGATATGCGCACTCGCAAGGAAATGTCCTATCATGCTCGAGAAGCGGCAAGTGTTGTGACAATATTTGCAGCAAATATAGTCCAAAGTGTCTTTTATTGATAACAACAAACCGCTAGTCAATATGGACATTGAAACTTGAATTATGAATCTAATTCCTTGAAAATATTAACCGTTCTTCAATATAATTTTTTGCGAATTCAAGTTTATTCAAAATGATATCGATATACAGTTTGCCTCACAACTTTTGTTAATGTGAATCCGATTTCTTCGTTATTAGACTCTATTTAAGTCCAATTATTGAATCCTCTAACATTATTGAACCTCAAGTTTTTTGCCGGTGGATTAGTTTTGGGTTGTAGTAAACCTTCAAACATCTCTATCACTTGATGGTTCGTATCCATCAGTCAGATACTCTATAAATAACTCGGTATCCCATACATCAAGGACAAAATCCGTTATAACAAAAGGCTTAAATCAATAAACCCGATATGCGACTTCTAGAGAAAATGCAGACAAACTAACTAGAGTCAAGTACCGTGCCAATATAAATTATTTAGCTGGAGAGTGGATTATTATAACACAAAACAACTTGAAATATTTAAGAGAATGTCTCGAAATTCGTTTCCTAAATAAATAATCATTCTTACCCAACATGCAATCTCTTGCATATTATTTTACATAATTTAATTACGTCCCTTTCAAATCGATTTTTATAAAAATTAAAAGTGCATTCATTACCAGTAACCACACCAACTCAACCGGCCAATTGCAATCAGGCCTAGTTACGACATATTAAAATAATAGGAGTAGGTCAATAGTAAGAATTGCTAAAATGTTTTATTTCGATGCAACAAACATAAGCCAAATCGAAATTCAATAGACCATGGCCAATAAATATAAATTCTTTATAATATTGTAAAATGGCTCGCAACCCAGGAAAAAAAAATTTCACTTTCAATTAACCACCCACTTCCCCACGTAGAATATTAATTATGATGTTTAAATTACTGCAGTCAGTAAGAGGAACTTGTGCGACCCTGAAATGACGTCACAGTCGTATATTGCTCGAGAGAGGCCATACACGTGCCGACAACAGCTGAATTTTTATCAGAGGCCGGGCCTAATTGTTGCACTTTGCAAATTAATACTGTCAAGGCCACCCTATTTTGTACACACATCAATATTTTTAATAAGAATTTTTATTGAAAATCTTAAAAATTGACAAAATTATCAACATTAAGTATCAATAAATAAGTAATATTAATTGAAAGACCGTTCATATATCATATAACAGTAGAACTTGTTTAATAATGCCAAAAACATTTACTTCCAAAAATAAATATTCAAATTACAAAAGACAGCGGGTGAGTAGAGTATCTAAAACATTAAAAACAAACAAATTAGAAAATAATTTAAAATAAATTAAGTCGTCTTACTTAATACTAATGTACATTTTCATACTTCTTATTAATAAACTAAGTATTTAATTTAGTGCAACAAACTAAGGCACAAACAATTTTAATAAAAATATTAAACCATTTCATTCTTTTCTATGAAAATATAATTTTTTTCTCAAATTCTATTACTTAATCTAGCTGTACATAATATAAACAAAAATGCTTTAGTGCAAAATTAAACACAAAACAATATGCCACTTAATAACGCTCTAAAAATCTTTTGGCATACTCAAAAGCTTGGCACAATTTTAAGCATAACTTGGAACAGGCAAAAGCATTATGCCCAACTTTATTTTAAGCAGAAAAACTATTGCAGACAAGATTTTTGTTTAGTACAAAAACTATAGAGAGATACCTACTTATCTCTGCTCTATCTGGATTAACTAAGTACTTTATCTATAAACATACTATAGATATTAACTAAATAAATTCGTCTCTTGTATCACTTCTGCATCTAATCAAACTTATGAGTAATCAACGGAAACCTAACAATCCTCAACTGTCTCCCGTAATCACACAATACAGCGTCCCTAAGCAAAATCAACTGATTAATAAAAACAAACGGATCTCGTCCTAAAGTAATAGTTTGAACACATTCTCCATTTCTCACGTCCCATATCACTAGACCGCCGTTACGACCGGTGACAACCAAATGGGGTGCCAGCATTAGGACGTGATTCGAAAAAACTTGTCCCACGAAAATTGTGTTCAGAAGATGTCCCTGGAAACGTTCCCAAACGCACAGGCGTTCGTCTATGGCCAACGAGATTACGTAGCTTGCTGAGTAAGTTAGTGAGATGATGCAGCCGTCGTGGGCTTGGATACTGTACATACAGGTTCCTGGAAAAAAATATTATCATTATTGATTTGTATTTCCATAAGTATTAATGTTCAAAATTAGCAAGAGTTTTTCATCTAGTTTATTTTTGAGAAAATTAACAATTTGGGATAAGACAGGAAATTTCTCTTTGAAAGTCAAAGTCAAAAATTGTATTCAGGGCCATCAAGTCTCCTGTGTAAGGCAAGAAGAATTTAATGTTAGGCTAACTGTGGTTGATAGTGTTTTTGTCGACCTGAGGTTTGGTGCTGTCCGGCTGCTGGTGGGGTGTATTTACCGACTTCCTAGATGTTTGTCTGAGGATAACAACTTGATTTTGGATATGCTAAACAGACTAAACGAATCTTTTACCACAATAATTTATGGTGATTTTAATTATCCTGAAATAGATTGGTCCACCGGTAAAGTGACTAAACGTAGTGTTTCTGCTGAAGAATTTTTACTGGCCTACCAGGAATCAAGACTGCATCAGTTAATTGACTTGAATACTCGTTTTCAGGAGGGTACTATCCCCTCATTACTTGACTTGTTCTTGGTATCAGATAAAAAGTTGGTGACAAGTATTACGTCTGCACCCCCAATAGGTAAGACCGATCATGTTACTGTTGTGGCCACAGCCCAGATGACCCTACTCCCAGTTGTTAAAGCTATAAAAAAGCACAAAAACCACTGGAAGGGAGACTACGACGCCATAAATCATTTTCTTGAGCAATGGGAACCAAACAACAGCACAACCTATTACGATAACTTGGTCGAAGTAGTGGACCACATATCAGAAGTCTATGTGCCTCTTCAGCGTCAAGTGGAGACCTTCAAAAAACCGTGGATTACTAGGGCTCATGTTAAATAATTGATAAACCAAAAAAGAAAAGCATGGCATTTATACAGAGATTCTGGTGAGAATTGTGACCTACGGGCATACAATGTGCTAAAAAACCGAATCACCCAAACATTAAGAAATGCTCGGTCAACTTTTGAGAGCAGTCTCCTAGGGCAGGGTCCAAGAAGGTTCTACCAGTATATCAAACGTTCGCTTCAATCTAGGCTTCAAAACTTTGTCTTGAGAGATTCAGACGACCATCTTGAGTCTGAACCACAAAGAGTGAGGGAAATATTCAGCAATTAATTTGACAGAGTATTTATACATGAAGACACAACAACTATACCAACTTCCCGCAGCCGGACGGTCAGGACCCACACTTGAAAATATTGTTTTTACCTCACAGAAGGTGAAAAGGTGCTGCTTGATCTGAAGCTCTCTGCCAGTCCAGGACCTGATGATGTATCCCCAATATTGCTAAAAAACTGCAGCGCGACCATGATGGAATCCTTGCAAGAACAATGACAGAATCATTTACAGATGGCATGGTCCCAGAAGCGTGCAAAAAGGGAATTGTCATTCCGATCTATGAGAAAGGCGATAAACACTTAGCTGATAACTATAGGCCTATCAGTTTAACATCAATACCCTGCAATTGTATGGAAAAGATTATAGCTACTGAAATGACAGAATTGGTTGAGAATCTTGCTAAGCTGGATAGGTGGACGAAGGACTAGTTATTGAAACTTAATGTCAGCAAATGTTGTGTTTTTGCACATTGGATACAACAAGCCTATGCTGGACTACCATATGGGCAATAACAACTTGGGAAGGGTGACTGAGCAGGCCGACTTAGGAGTAAATATCTCACATGACCTAAAATGGGAAGAGCACATACATGCAATCGTGAAGCGAGCCAACTCAACAGTCTATCTGATACGACGCTGTTTTAGGGAAATATCCCCTGAAGTGTTTCTCCGAGCCTACAAAACCTATATTAGACCACTGCTGGAGCATGCTGTTGTGGTTTGGTGTCCCTATTTCAGAAAGGACATAGATCTGATTGAGCGTGTCCAGAAGAGGGCAACCAAAATTCCACCATCTTCAAGAGAATTGTCTTATGAAGAACCACTGAAAGCTCTTAATCTGACAACTCTGGAGGAACGCAGAAATAGAGGATACTTAATCGAAACATACAAAATTCTTTTGTAACCTCCCCTAGTGTAAATGCCTTTAAGAACAGACTTGATAAATATTTTAGTGATAGGCTGTAAAATAGTGCATAAATCGCTCTGATTTTGCCTTATTTTAGTGTGAAATATCCTATTAAAAATTTTGAAACTTTGCAATTACCCAAAACTAGTAGTGCTTAAAAACTTGTGCATATTAGTTTTGTAATCGGGTTTCTATTTTCATAGTAATTACGTACTCTTAAACGTGGTATTAACATCATTTATCTCAAACAAAAAGTGCAGCAAAAAACTGATAAAGTGTTTGGACGCCTGAACCTGATAAATAAACAACTATAGTGCAGTCAATTTGGAAGTTTTTGTATACCAAAAGATGTAGAAAAGCAGGGTACGGGGGTGTAAGCATTATGATTCACAAGGACTTTTATTCTCATTATTTATTTAAAACAATTGACACTTTTGAAAATCACAAAGAAGAACGCCTATTTGAGTTGTGTGCTGTATATAGTAGTAGCATTAATGTTTATGTTTTATGTATTTATCGTGCACCATCCAGTAATGTGTCTGATTTTTTGGCAAGGCTCGAATCTGTCATTTCCATTCTCCCTCCTAAATCAAAAATAATTGTTTGTGGTGACTTTAATTTGGATTCCTTATCTATGGGGGATATTAGCACCATTATGTTACACAACCTAATTAATTCTTACGGTTTACATCTGCATGTTGACAAACCTACACGTATAACATCTCATTCTTTCACATTAATAGATCATGTAATTTCACCAAGGAGATGTTAAATGTAGTGTGACAAATAGCGCACTCTCTGATCACGAGGCGGTATGGTGTAGTTTTGCAATAAATAAAAAAGAGAGAAGGGGAGCAAAAAGGTGGGGTAGATTTTTCACAAGAAAAAATTATGATAGGTTCACGCAGCTTGCTTCTTTGGAAAACTGGGGTGATGTGTTAAGCTCTGCAGATCCATTCCGCGCACTTGCCGCTTCTCGAGCGTGATAGGACATTTCCTTGCGAGTGCGCATATCCGTAAAAAAAAAAAAAAAAAAAAAAAAAAATTGGCAGGTTTCCACTGTTTTAGCTAAAATTTTTAATGCAAGTTTTCCTTTAAAACAAAAAACAAAAAAAAGTTGGATTACTAAAGGAATAAGAGTTTCAGCAAAAAATTTAAGATGTCTCTACTATATAAGAAAATTCAATATGTGTAATCAATTTTTTGTATATTATTTCAATAAATATAGATCAATATATCGTAAAACTATAAAGGCAGCTAAGCAATCTTATTATGTAAAGAGAATTGCGTCTTATTCTAACAAGCAGAAGACAGCTTGGCAAATTGTAAATGAACTTCGAGGAGATAATAAGTGTGTTAAGGAATGTTTGGATTCCAAATTAAACGCTACTGATTTAAATAAATTTTATTGCAATATAGCCAACCATTCATCAAGCCTCATAAAAAGTAATTTAAATTTTGAAAACTTTTTAAATCATGTAAATATAACTGAAACATTCTTTTTTGTACCCACCAATGAACACGAAATTAAGGAAACAATTTTGGAGCTAAAGGGTAACAAAGCGCCTGGGTGGGACGGCATTTCCTCTAAAATATTTAACAAACTTCCTGAGAGTGCACTTAGGATTCTAGCAGAAGCTATAAACCTCTCTTTTACTACAGGTGTTTTTCCCCACTGTTTGAAGATCGCTAATATTGTCCCATTATACAAGGGTGGAAATGAGGAAAGCCCCTCAAACTACAACCAGTGGCATTGCTGCCAACTTTATCTAAAGTTGTGGAAAAAATAGTTAAAAGGCAAATCCTTAATTTTTTGAAGAAGAAGACCACAGTGCAATTTGGCTTCCTAGAAAAAAGATCCACCAGTGATGCCATATTCCGTTTTCTGGAGGGTCTTTACATGAGGATGAACGATCGACAGGTTGCAGCGGCAGTGTTTTGTGAATTGACAAAAGCTTTCGATTGTGTGAGTCACAAGATATTGCTGCGCAAACTGGAGATTTATGGATTTAGGGGTAAAGGACTAAGTTGGTTTCAATCATATTTTTGACCAATAGAGTCCAGTCTGTATCTTATAATGGGATAAAATCAAACCAACAGACTCTAAATAGTGGAGTGCCTCAGGGTTCGGTTCTGGGACCAATTTTCTTTTTACTCTATATTAATGATATTGCAAACCTTAACATTTCTGGAAGCTTTACATTGTTTGCAGATGATGCAACAATTCTCTGGAGTGGTACAGATGAACATATTTTGGTTGAAACCATTAACCACGACTTGTCCTTGATAAAGAACTGGTGTGATTCAAATAAGCTGTGTCTAAATATTTCCGAAACTAATATTATTTCTTTTAAATGTAACCTGGGACCAGTTTATTTGGAAGATCAGATATTAAGTGGCACACCCCAAAGTAAGTTCTTAGGTTTGCATATAGATGGTAGATTGAAGTTTGAATGCCACATTGCAAACCTAAATAAAAAGTTGGCATCAAATTGTTATGCTTTAAAAATAATTTCCAGTGAATTAGATACAAATATTATGAGACAAGCATATTTTGCATTAATAGAATCCCATCTACGTTATGGAATATGTTTTTGGGGTTCTTGTGCTAAACAGCTTATGCATACAGTATTCATCTTGCAAAAAAGAGCAATCAGATACATAAACAGGGCTAATTTGAGAGATTCATGCAAACCGCTTTTTGTTGCTAACAATATTTTAACATTACCATCTTTGTTTATTCTTGAAACAGTATCTCTAATTCATAAAAAGTATAGAAACACATTGAACCAAAATTTGTCATCTTATGCCACCAGGCAAACATATAAAATATTGTTACCTGTTCCCGGAACCTCCCAAGTACATGACTCTATTGTTTTTAATGGACGTCTACTCTTCAACCATTTGCCGGTCAGTATTAGAGAGATTTATGAGGAAAGGAGATTTAAGAGGGAGGTAAAAAACTTG